ATACAAGAGTGCCTCTTGATTCCCAAACTGCACAGCATGTTGGGAGACGGAAGCGAGGCTTTGTGGGCAACCCTGGAGTGAGGGGTCCACCTCAGCTGAAGTGTAACCCTGAGGATGGCCGTTTCCTTGGTGACTCTCACAAATGCCCTCACTGCCCCCCGCCTCATGGCGGAGGCCTAGGAACCCCACAGGCTCATGCCTCTCACCCGCCCACCCCTTGGTCTGGTTTCCCCAGATCCATCCTGCTCTGTGTTCCCATTCTGCTGCTCTGCCTCTAGTGGCAGCCCAGATGGGCGATGCGCCAAGCTTCTGATTTTGGTTTCCCCTCAATATTCCATCTCTTGCCTTGCTCTCAGCAACAGACTCTGAAGTCTGACAAGTGAGGCTCCACCCATGAGCTCAGGCCCCTCTAGGAGAGAAGAGCAGGCAACTGTCCCTGGCCTTTTGCTTGACCTTGTCCTTGGGCCCTGACAGACGGGGCTGGGCCCTACCTGCTAGCTACTGCAGCTTCACAGGTAGCTGAGAAATCTCTGCCCACAGCCTCTCTGTCCGGTACCTATGGCCCCTCAGAGTCAGGTCCTAGAAGGTGGGCAGGACCCTCCTTCCATCGTGTGTTGCCCCCTCTACCATACCTGCTGTGCTCCCCTCTCTTTCTGCAGCCTAGGTTTCTAGAAACTGTCAGCTTACACAGGGGAAGATGGACACCTCACAGCTCCCAAGTTTACATGTTATAGCTTCACTCAGCCTCAGAGCCTGACAGTCAGCCTCTCAAATCTGGTTCCTAAACGGATCAGGTGTTCTGTCCACTCAGCTAAGTATGTGGTACAAATATGGCTTCTAGGAACCCACTCAGTGAATCAGGGACACTGCCCAGAGAAAATGTGACTCCCAGATGGGAAAAGTCCTTTAACAAGTCCTGCTGGAAGGGACATCCCAGGGTCCAGCAGACTCAGGGAGGCAGCTTCCAGCCCACAGATGAGGGTGGCTCATCGGGAAGTGGCCAGGCCCAAGCCCTGGTCTACTGGGATGGCTTCCCGTCATGGCTTTGCTGGCGCAGGTGGACACTGCTGATGAGCAGCGTCACCTGGACCCGTCCCCAGGTGCGCTCCTACCAGGGGCTCTGTGCACTGGAGGTAGAAGAATGACTCCTGAGACCTCAGTGTAATTATTATCCAAGACTCCTCCTTGCTCCCCACTCCCAACCAGCAACAGAAACTCAGGGCTTTTTGAAATTTAACCCCCAAGATACCTACCACCTAGTGTGTACCAGAAAGCCATTGAGAGGAAGATGCCTTTCAGACCTGCCTCGGCTAATTTGAATTCTTACGATGCCATTGGCCCGAGCAGGACCCTGGCTACTTCCATCTCAACAGCAGCACTTTTCTTCTTCTTCCTAGTGTTGTGACCTTGGGCAAGTTACTCCACCTCTCTAAGCCTCAGACTCCTTATCTATAAGGTGGGGATAAAAATAGTGCCTGCCCCACAGTGTTGTGTGATTAAACAGGCTAATGATTGAATACTGCTTAGCACATTGCTGGTACCCATCACCCCCATCACCCAAATCATCTCATCATCCCCATCATCACTGTCATCTTATCATTTGACCACCCTCATCCCATCCTCATCATCATCACCATCATCCTGTAACCATCATCATCATCCCCACTATCCTCCTCCTCATCATCATCTTGAACACCTTTTGAGACTGAGGTGTTCTACTTGGTTGCCAGCCTACGTCTTCCCCAGACCAGACTTCCCATGAGGAGGGTTACCTACTGCAGCCAAGATCTATCCCTGGGAGGGAACAGTAAGACGGCCTTTCTGGGATACATTCTGTCAGCCACGTGTTCCCAGAGTGATGCTGGGAAAAGTGTCTGTGGTTCTGAAGTTGGGAGCCCCCATATCAATTGGAGAAATCCCATGATGTCTAGAGTTCACCACTGCCCATTCATTTTGCATTTCTGGCCCTGCACATTCAAATAGCAAATCTTCTCAAAGCAGGAAAGTGATCAGATGGTCTGGTTCCAGTGCCTGAAGATCCTGGCTGCTCTGTGCTGATGCTAGCAGACCAGCCAGAGCCACCCCACCTGTGACAGCCCTCCTCCAGTCCTCGAGGGCTTGCCTTGGGAGGGAAGGCTGGCCACCACCCTGTCTCTATGCTCCTAAAAGTTGGCTTTGGAGAAGAGTCACCATTACATTGCCCTTCAAGGCCAGCGTCACCTCCCCAGGGTCCAGGTGGAGCAGGCTCTGATCTCCTCCACTGGGAGCAAATTGACTGATGGGCCCTCTGCTCACATGGGAAAGATGTCCTCCCTTTGTGGGCATCTATGTCTCCATCCATAATGACAAGCCACTGGGGTGGGATGAGTAGCTTCACCTCCTTGAGCCCCAGTTTCCTCATCTAAGGTGGGTGAGAGCAGTGCCCCTCACATGTATGAAAGTACTTAGCCATCTCATGGTAAGTGGATCATAAATGGCAGCTGCTCTTAAGTGTCAGGCAGCCAAAACCATCAGGAGAATTCTCCCATCGGGGAAGCCAAGAGACCAGGGGCCTGGGAGATGGCCCCATCCCAGGAGATCCAGAGTCTAAGAATTTGTGGCCATTCAGTCTCACAGACGCTGACAAAGCCCATTCAGTGTGAGCTGCAGCAGAAACTTACAGGTAATGGTGCCTCTGAGAACAGAATGCCAGGAAGCTGCCCACAAGGTGCTGGCTCCAAAGGGACCCAGACCCTATGGCTGACTTCTCCACGTGTGACAGCCCAACCTCTGTCCCACCCTGAAAAGTGCAAGAGGAACTTGGAGCATCAGATAGACCTGGGTTCAAGTCCTGGCTTACTAGCCTCATGCCTCAGCTAACTGTCTTCAAATCACTGAAACTCAGTTCCCCATTCTGGAGAGGTTAATAGTGCTTAAACAAAACTTGGGCAAGATAACCAATGGCCTGATGCACAGGAGCAGTCACTAACTAGTAACTCTTCCTTGGGCCACCCCAGTGGCCCCCAGTATCCCTGCACCCCAACCAGTCCAGTGCGCTGGGGAGCACCTCACTCCTTTAGGAAGAACGTAAGGAAAGAGTGCTTAAAAGGCTAGACTGGCTGGAAGATGCTGATTGAAAGCTTTTTGTCAACAAATGTCTGTCCTGCCAAGTATCTGTTAACTATGCAGCCATGGACTGTCTCAGAAAAGGGGAGAGAATGATGGAGAGAAGATAGCAGCACTGATCACGTCGCTCTGTCTGTGGAACAGTCCACTGTCATCACACATTTTCCTGGGGTACCAGAAACAAAAACTCAAGAGAAGAAAGGTGGAAGACAAGGGGCCGAGGATCCAGCTCTGCGAGGGGAGGCTCCGTCTCCAACTCCAAATAGACAGCAGCTCTGAGCAGGAATCCAGAGCAGACGAGGAGATGTCCTCCAGGCACAGGGATGTCACTGCAGAAGAGTTTACTGTCAGATCCGGCCCTGACTCAGAAGAGACCCGGGTTATGGCTGGGGAGGAACGCATCCCTGGAGGCAGTCTGTTAGCTGTCCAGGAAGCCTGTTCAAGCCTGGGGCTGAGATGTGCCGTGGTGTCACACCCAGTTGTAAGGAGAGGGAGGAGGCAGACTGGCCTGTGGGCTGGGAGTTGAGCGTGCCAGGGCCTCAGAACCACGGCTTATGGTGGGGGTGGGGGTGGAGTCAGCCTGTGACCATCATCTGTCACAAGGGTATGGTGGGGTAAGGGCTGAGACCCATTGCATTCAAGGACTTGGGGACCAAGCACATGCTGCAGCTCTCCATCACCTAAAGAGTAGCTGATGGACAAAAGGGACAGGGTCCTGCAGCAGTTGACCTGGATGACTGTCAGATTCCCACTAGCCCTGAACTTGGGCCTCTGGACAACAAACCCGAGATGGTCATCAGGAACAGTTCCGTCTTGAGTGGAGGAGGGAGGGGCAGGGAGCAATGAAGCCCCCTCTCAGAGGAACCTGAGATCAGTTATGGTGTGATGCACCTGTGCAATGAATGAGGACCTCCCCACACCACCGCCAGGTGGCCAGTGCTGTCGGGCAATGTACAGCAACATGGGACTGGCAGTGGACAACAGGGAATGCTTGAAAAAGAAGTCTGGACCTTGTCTGGCTTTATAAATTGGGTTACTTCATTGTTTGGCCAATGGAAAGCTATAGCCCAGAGAGAGACCCTACTGCAGGGGTGGGGAGAAGTTTGAGGACCAAGAAGACCCAGGAAGTCATTCTACTAAGAGAGGAAAGGATAAAGAGAGGGGAGAAAGATGGAAGCCTCCTCCCACATAGGTTAAGCTCCCTGCTTTCCTGCACCTCCCCTGGAAAGGCTCACTGCTGGGGAACTACGGGTGACAGAGAAGCCAGATGGGTGGCCCACGGAGAGGTCCTGGATCATGAACTCTCGGACGCTGCAGCAGGCCACAGAGCAGGTTTGCAGGGGACCGTCTGGGGCCAGCAAAGGAGACTGTCCGGTGGAGAAGACAGACGTAGCCCGCAGAGGAATTCAGTTGTACCCTAGTGAATAATGATGCTGCACATGCCCCACCTCCCACACCGGGCCAACGTGCAAGATGGCCCACAATTCTGCGTCTGTGTGCGCGCATTTCATTGGATTGACCGCGGAATATTTGGGCTGTACGGCATATTCTGTTAAACATCTCAACCTCACATTGGGATAAGTGGGTGTGCCTGGATTTTAGTCATCCCTTTGACCCTGGAAGAAAGGTGAACATTTAATTAAAAGGTAAAGGAAACACTTAACTGGAAACTTGGGGGCTTGCCCAGGTGGAGGCTCTAGAGGTGTTGTGTTCCCTGACCTAGCAGCTCCAGATGTGCCCCAGATGTGCTTGCAGTGTGACTGGGGAGGCTGGGGGAAGAGTTGGTGTTGGGGCTTCCTGAGCTAATGGTCACAGAGTCTGAGATGCCCTTGCCTCCTTCAGGAATAGCTGGTCTTTCCAGGCTTTGACTAAAACTCAACCCTTTTCCTCTGAAGCAGGGGACGTCTGTATGCCACGCTGGGGCCCAACTGGCGGGTTCCAGTTCGGAATTCTCCCAGAACCCGGAGCTGTGTCTACAGGTATTCATTTATTCATGTGCTCATTTATTTGACAGGTAGCTCTAGGGTGCATATGGGATGCCAGGTACTGAGCTAGAGGCTGCGGATGAGGACACGGCCTTGACCTCAGTCTGTGGGGCTGTTGCTTCAGGAGAGATGGAAAAGGAATGGAAAATCGCAGGTGCCAGTGATCCAGAGAGGAGGCCTCCCTGGAGGAAAGATTGGAAGAGTGACAGGAATTAGCCAAATAAAGGGAAGGGAGGCGTAGGGGCAAGAATACCCCCAGCCCGAGGGACCGCGACAGCTCAGGCCACGAGGCAGGAAGAGCGGGCTGATTCAGGAGGTGGAGAGTCGTGTTATAAGAAATGAGAAAGAGGAGAGGGCGCCAGACGAGGCTGGAGGGGTGGGCTGGAGCCCCGTCCAGCAGGAGGTAAGGATAGTGGTCTCAAAGGCAATGGGGGTGGGGTTGGATGCGGGAGGGGAAGGGGCTGAGGGTAGTGGCACGACCAGGTCGTCCTGGCTGCGGTGTGGAGAGGGCGCGCGGGAGAAGGCAGGAGTGGACTCAGGGAGGCCAGGGGAGAGCACCGGGCAGTTGTTCAAAGGATGATCAAGTTCTGGTCTGAGGTGAGGAGAGTGGGCTGGCTGAGATGGGCAGTCAGACATATTTAGGACGTGGGATCAGTGCATCCTTGGGATTGAAGAGGTTTTGGGGTGGGCGGGTAAGAGAAGAAAACCCCCAGGTTTCTGGCTTATGCAGCCTGGTGGATGGTGATGCCTTTCACCGGGAGGTAGAAGAAGAGCAACTTGGGGGAAGATGCTGGGTTGCGGGAGTTGCCTACCCAGGAAGCAGAAGCTGGAGCTTGGGAGAGAGGCCTGGGCTGCTGCTGCACTTGGACTCTTCGCCTGTAGGTGGCACCTGACTCCCCATAGCAAGGAATAGCTGCAGGGCACCGGACTGTGAGGGGCCCTGCCCGGCTTCTCTCTCCACCCCCATCTCTCCCACTTCCTCGCTACTCCTCCAAGTCTCCTGCCAACACAAGGAGGGGGACTGCAAAGGCCCCAAGCTCCTCAGGCGGAGAGGAAGCCACCGCAGAGGTCAGGATAGGATAGGGACACTGCTAGGGCCTTGCAGCGCTCAGAAAGACAGGCCAGGTGTAAGTTCTCAGCGGTGGGTGAGCCAGGGCCACCTTCTTCCAGGCTCTCCATGCCCTCGGGGCCCTCTGCTCCCTGGCCTTGCCCAGCACTGTTGATCCTCCGGCCTGTGGCAGCGTCATGGACTCGGTGGTGGGGGACCTGTGGGCCCCAGGGAGTGAGAGGGTGCCTGAACTCAGCTCCTCTGGGACCATGTCTGAACGGTGGTCTCTCCCCAGCCCCACCGGCCCGTGCATCTGTACTGTGGGGAGCTCGGCAGCGGTGCCCACCATGGAGGGGCCTCTGAGAAGGAAAACTTTGCTCAAGGAGGGACGGAAGCCCGCGGTGAGTGCAGATGCACTTCTGTCCAGGGGGAGCATGGGCACCAGGGAGGGCCTGGGCTCCACAGACCGACCAACCAGGGTTCCAGCCCTGGCTGTGCCACTGAGTGGGCAGGGCCTTGGTTTCCACATCTGTAAATTGGAGCCCTCCATCCTGGGGGACTTGGCAGGAATGTCACGTGTGTGGCAGTGCACACAGTGAGCAGGCAGTGAGTGGGGCAGTGCCATCATCCTGAGGGCGAGCAGAACCCTGGAGCCCCAGGAGGCCGGGTGGACACTGCGCCTGAGAGGGTCAGCACAGCGTGGGTGGTACCCCCCATGCACGTTCCCTCTCTCCACCCCACCCCCTGCCCCCGCCCGGCAGCATCATGAAACACGTGCTGGAAAGGACAGGGAGAGGGATTTAGGAGGCCTCTCAGGCTCCACTGCTAGCCGTCAGGTCACCCTGTGCTGGACCTGGATGTCCCGGCTCCATGACCCCCATCAGTGGCGGGTCTCAGCCCTTCCCAGAGTCCTCTTTGTTGGTTCCACGGAGCATCCACGGCAAGGTGCCTGCAAACCCTCCTATGAGCTGCGTCTCTAGGCAGCGCCTGCTCGTGTCTCCTCTGCCCTTCCTGTCCTGCCCCGGCTGCTGCTTGCCCCCGTCCGCTGCCCACACAGCCACTTGGAGACTCTCCTGAAGATGCCAGGCCCCTAGCCCCGGTGCTGCTCTAGAATCTCCCATCTCCGGGTGCCACGTGGTTCTTGTGAGAGAAGAATCTTCACCCCAGCCCTGGGCCAGACTCTGTCCCTTGGACCCAGAGTATCGCAAAGCATGCTGTGACGTGAGGCCCTATATCTGGCCTGCTATACAGACCTGTCTACTGTCTACCTGTACCCACAGCGAGGCAGTATCCTAAAGGCAGTGTTTTCCCAAATGCTGGTCGGCCCACTGGTGACTGATGAAGTCAGTCCAGGGGGTCAGGACCCATATTTTCGAGTAGAATAGAACAGACTAGAAAATGTCAGAGTCCCTTCCACATAGTAAAGGTGAGTCTTGTTTCCTGAAGCTTCTTTCAGTTCGACATACATATATACATGTGTGTGGTGCACCCCTGCGGGTGTCGTCAGAAAGGTCAGAAAGCCACTACTTTCACTCTCTTAGGGGACACAGCTCCCCGCTCCCCATGTGAAGAGGAGGACTTGGAGGTTGTGATGCAGGGCTGACTGCTCCTGTACACTCAACCCTGTCCTTCCAAGACAGGATATCTGCTCCGCCTTTGCAGAACCAAAAGGCCTACTGGTTTTTCCAAACCAAGGAGCAGAGCCCCGAACAGGGGATTCAGCCTTCATGTCTAAGGAACAGAAACCAAGCCCGCAGCTTGGCCCTGTCGGCTGTCCCCACTTCTAGCTATAAACACCCGCAAAGCACTGCCGTTCAGTCTCAGCCAGAGCACCCGCACCGCAGACACTGTGGTTCTGCTGGGCTATGGTTTAGCATGTCCCTGTTTTAAAACTGTTTTTCCCAGAACATTCTTGGGTTCAGGTCACCCGAGCAGACAGAAGTTATGCCTTGGCCCTGCCCTAAACAAGGTGGGGAAAGGAGAGGCTCTGGGAGTAAAGGAGCTGGAGAGGGGAGGGAGAGCGGAGGGCTGAGGGCTGATGAGCTCAGAGGCGCTGGTGAGGAGTCTCCCTCCTCTGGGCCCTGGGGGGAGTGGCATCGAGGGGGTGGGGGCAGGAAAGAGATGAGGCCTGCACTGGCACTGATCTGGAGGAGGGGGCGCCCTTCCACTCATGTGGCTGGGTCTCTAATCAGGCGGAGGGGGGACTCTGCCCCTTCCACTCGCAGCATTGTCACTCTGCCTCCCCTTCCTCCATAGCTGTCCTCGTGGACCAGGTACTGGGTCATACTCTCAGGATCCACCCTCCTGTACTACGGAGCCAAGTCCTTGCGGGGCACAGACAGGAAACACGTACGTTCCACAAAAAGGACTCTCCGTGCTGAGACTTCATTTAGTGCAACCTGCAGGGGAGTGGGTGGGGGCGGAGAAGGACCTTTGCCTGGCTCAGGTCGGCCTTCCTTGAGGAGCGGAGGGTGTGGGCCTCCTGGCCATGCTGTTGTTCTTCTGCAGTACAAATCCACACCTGGCAAAAAGGTCTCCATTGTGGGCTGGATGGTGCAGCTGCCCGATGACCCCGAGCACCCGGACATCTTCCAGCTGAATAACCCCGACAAAGGTAGGCAGCAGCCAGGGCTGGTTCCTGCAGCTTCTCTCTACTCCGTTTCTTCCTTTGCCAAATGTGCATTTTGAAACAGTAGGAACCTTTGAGGCTGCTGCTTTCCCTTTGCTTTAGGGAAAAGCACAGGATCCCCTCAATGGTCCACAAACGCTGCTTAGATCATAGTGGGTGGGAGCAATGTGCATGGCACGTGGCTGCAGGAATCCTTTTCAACTATCCCCCCTGGAACTGTAGCCTCAGGGTCATGGAATAAATAACATAACACTGGATAAGGCAGTGACCGTGTGGCTGGAAGGGGCTTTGGGCTCGGGAGGTTTCAGGATGCCCCAGATTTGCCTGGTCCCTGAGACTCTGACCATGTCCACTCTAAGGCCAAATCAGAGAAGAACTCTTTTATAAAAGCTCCAGTTTTAACTTAACTAGTCATCTCCCATCTTCTCCTGGTTTTATCCTTCCCCCATGACCATGCAGAGAAGGACAGGTTCTGGGTGCCATCTTGTCCAAGAAACTGGTCTGTACTGACGTTCAGAATAGGCCGTGCTAGTCTCCTCCATAGCCCATATCACATGACAAAACCCCAAATTTCCTGGGTCTTAGGTTCTAGGCAGACCAGTTCACGGGTGCTGTAAAGTCCCCGAGCATCTTCACACCTTCACAGGGATGTTCCAATGCAGAGTTCATGCACCTACAAATCACCTGCAGATCTTGTTGAAATTCAAATTTGGATTCAGTGGATCTGGGGTGGAGACCAAGATTCTGTGTTTATAACAAGCTCCCAGGTAATGCAGATGCTGCTGCTGGTTGAGTGTCAGGGTTTGAATGTTGTTAGCTGGGAATTAAAGGAACGAGAGCCTCAAGGAGCCCGGGGAATGGAGAAGAGAGAAGCCAAGTTTGCTGTTCTGCTTCTGAGCAATGGAACCACGGACAGCTACCCACGTGTCATAGTATGTCCTCAGTCTGGTCACCATTTGAGTTTCTTCCTCAAGTCTCCAGAACCAGATTAAAGGTGATTTCCTTAGGAAGTAAAGGCCATGCCTACACAAGCTTGACCATATGACAACAGGCCACTCTTGGGGCTGAGCCCAGAGGAAACACTGTGCCCAAGCAGAGGGAAACGTGACACAGCAGGTGGCCAGGGCCCATGGATGGAATTCAAGGGGTCTGCGAACTTGGGTGGGGAAAAAATCACACCTCCATTTTCCATGACCTCTAACTCCTTTCATTATAATTAAACGACTAACTAGAATGTTCACAGTACCTGTGATTTTATCTGCAAGAGACACCATGGATATTTCCATATCAAATATTATCACAGGTACCTCCAAGTCTCATTTTTGCTCACTTCTTTGCAGTCACAGTGCAGTATCAGACCTGCCCCCAGATCTTGTTATGAGGGCATTAATAGAGAAGCGTGGAAAGAACTGTATCACTTATTTATATTTTAGTAGTTTGGTAACTGTATTTCAGTATTATTGATTTTCTTTGTATTTATTGTATGCGTTTGAAACATTATTCTGAGACGGGTCCACAGGCTTCACCAAAGCCAAAGGTGTCAAGGCCAGAAAAATGGTTAAGAGCCCTTGTCCAAGAGACAGGCAGGAAGCCCGGGAGGCGGCTCCTCTGTGTACCCCAAGGCTGCCTCTGGCTGTTCCTGATCTTCCCTAGTGTAGGTACCCATGTTCACGTTTATCTTCATGCCGCTGTCACAGGTAGAGCCTCCCATGTGACCTTCCTCTTAACTGGCGGTTTCTCTTCCCGGCAGGCAATGTTTACAAGTTCCAGACTGGTTCCCGGTTTCATGCAATACTGTGGCACAAGCATTTGGATGATGCATGTAAAAGCAACAGGCCTCAGGTAAAGTCACCGAAGTCCTGCTTGTCACCCGAAATACCCTCTCCCACCCTTGGGACTAAGGGTCCATAGAAAACAGGGCTCCCCCCTCCCCTCAGAGCCTATCAGCTAGGCTTTTGATCAGCCTTTTCCCATGAGACAGGGTTCCCCCTGCTCAGCTTAGAGCGAACCCCGGACTGGAACTTTGAATCTTGCCCCTGTGCCTTTCCCACGAAAGGAAATGCCATGGAAACATCCATCAAGGCAGGCAGCAGGTGGGCTGGTGCCCCAAGCATCAAGCTGCAGCATCTTATTTAGGTCATCCCCCAAAAGCTGATTCATGGGCACACTCCAGTCTGACTAAAGGGACTCCCTGCCCCGCCACACACACACACACTTAGGAATAGTAATACTAACAGCTGGTTTGTTGAGAGCCAGTCACGGCTGCTGATGAATAGGGCTCTCTGGCTCCTTGGCACGTTTGAACCAAGGAAACCTCTGGTCTGTGGGGCCTAGCTTGAGGCTCGCTCCCTCCCCCACCACCGCCAGGAATTGGCCGTATCCTCCCAGCATCCCTGTGAGGTAGGTTCTCTTACTGTCCCCATTTTATGCTGAGGACACTGAGGCTCAGAAAGTGGCAGGCACTTGTTTAAGGCCTGTGGTTAGTAAGATCTAGGCCAGGTCGGTCTGACACCAAAGTCTGCGCTTGCCGGCCCTGAGATTTCGGGCTGTACACTTCAGAGAGCCCTGGCTTACAGCCACACACCAGACAGGGGCAGCCTGGAGCTCGCCGCCCCCCTGGGGGTCGGGTGGGCAGAATTTGGGGTGCTGGTGCCAGGATGGGTACTCCTGTCCCTAAGCTCCCCTGTTCGCCAGGGGTCAGCCAGAAGAGGGGCCTGGGGAGCTGGGTCCCTCTCTCAGCCTGGGGAGGGAGCACCAGGGCTGGAACATCGGATGGTGGCAGCTTTGAGGAGGAAGGTGGGGAGCAGCTCTGAGGTCTGAGGAGACGTCAGCAAAGGCAAGCTCACGACCTGCGGCGTGTGGCACGTGGCGTGTGGGTCCGGGAGGGCAGGGGCTTCAGTTGTGCTGGTCACAGCACAGTCATGGACTTCTCAGCTCTTCAGAGCGGTTCTCATAAAGCAGAGGAAGGTCTCTAGTGGCCTCTCCCATGATTCTGTGCTCAGTTTGGGCCCATTCGGGATTTTTATCTGTCAAATAGGTGGGGACATAAAGGACAAGCTGATCAAAGTATCCAGGATAAGAAGCTAGAAAGCAGAATTAGCAGAAAGTCCTTGACAAACTAAAACAGTGGGACAAGACTGGTATAGGGATAAACTTGAGGTACCACAGGGAAGCTCAAAATAAATTGCGTTTGAGTCCCTCAACTCACTTGCTAGGAATTTGTCCGAGGCACAAGCTCACAGGCTCACAGGTATTACGACCGTTCACAGTAGCATCATCCTTAATAGGGAAAAAAACCCTGGAAACCTCAATGACCCTCAGTAAATCCCTGTTGTGCAACCCGATAGTGATTAGAAAGGCAGAAGCAGGTCCATGTGTGGTCACCTGAGAGGAGCTCAAGACAGAAGTGAAAGAGCAAAGTGTAAAAACACATGTAAGGGTGATCTCTTTGCATTAAAATACATGTGCATGTTTATTACATGCGTGTTTGTGCACATCAAATTTCTACAATGACGTACAAGAAACTACAGTTCTACGGTTTCTAGAGCGTATTTTGTGCATTAAGTAAATGTAATTGCCCATCTCCATGATTGGGAGGGCAGAGTCTTTGGTCAGCGGTCACCTCAAGGCTTGAACAAGGCTGGTGCCATCTCAGGCCACATTAAGACAGGAAGAGTGACCTGACCTCCCGGCTCACCATGCCTGCCCAGGGGGCCCCTCCTTAGCTCGGACGGCCCCTCTGAGAGCACAGTGCTCTGGAGCTTGCCCCCCGCCCCCCCCCACACACAGGTGGCCCGAGACCTCTGAGCAGGAGCGACAGGGACTGATAGCCCTGAGGTGGGCCGCACACATGGTGGGGTGGAGAGAGAGGCAGGGCCTTGGTGTCTGCCCCAGGCAGCAGCCGTGGTGCTGTGGGGGGCCCAGCCAGCGGCAGGGATGGTTGTCCTTCTCTAGGGGGGCAGCCTGAGGGTAGCAGCAAGTAGCAGGGAACTGGGTCAGACTCACTTGGCAGAGGAGATGTTTGGTCAGAGGGACAAAAGGACTGAATTTCGTGTGTGGCAAACGTGGTGTACCATGACAAGGTTTTGCAACATGTAGATGTTTTTGTCCAGTTTTTAGATCTAAGTCGGGGGGAGTGGGAATCTTCTATTTTTTTTCTACTTTTCCCCTTTCAATTTCTAACTTACTTTCAACCAGGTATTCCCGCTCTATGTTGTATGTAATAATGAAAAGTTGGCAACAACTAAATATTCCACAGCAGTGGATTATTTAAATAAGCCACAGTACATGCATAGGATGGCTTATTACAAGGGGGTGCAATGAGGGATGTTAGCATCTATCCCCAAAGCAAATCTCAGAGACTTGGATGAATTTTCTTTTCTGTGAAACTGCATTTCCTAAAATTGTATATACTGACACTGAATACACCTAAACCTTATTTATAGCATACGTGTAAGGTGTAAACCACAGCAATAAAACAAACACCTGGTAAAAAACAAACAAACAAACAAACAAACAAACAAACAACACCTGGTACCACCAGCCTAAAGGCAGGACCTCCCCAGGCCTCGGAACACTTCCTTCCCAGGGTCTTCTTCCTCGTTCTGTCTCCCTTCCACCCACCTGTGCCCCATAACCACTCCTCTGCCTGATTTGTTTGTTTACTGTTCCTTTAAAATGTTAACACATGTATTTGATTCCTTAATGTATTGTCTGGTGTACATTTTTTTAACTTTTTTTTGAAGAGTGATTCATTTATTTAGGTTTTGTGGGGGGAGTAGGGGTGTAATCAGGTTTATTTATTCTTTATTTTTAGAAGAGGTACTGGGGATTGAACCCAGGACCTTGTGCATGCTAAACATGTGCTCTACCACCCTCCCCCTAAACTTTTTTTTATAAATAGAACCATAACTGTATATTTTCTTCTGTGACTTACTTTTCTCCTACAGTGTGTTTGTAAGATTCATCTGTCTTGGTGTCCATAGCTGCCATTCACTTATTTGTAATGATTTTTAAACGTCAGTTCTTCTGTCCGTGATCCCAAGAATGATTTCCTGCTTTTTGCTATTTTGAACAGTGCTGCTATGAGCATTCTTATAACTGTCTCCTGGTGCAAGGAGATGCTTTGTTTCCATTTCATCATTTTGACCAAATTGGCACCAAGATGGATTTGTTTTTGATGAAACTGCTTCTCATCAAATCTCCTGGAACCCCACGGCCATGCTGGGGGAGGAGGCCTGGGGCTGGGGGAGCGCTAGCAGCTTTGAGAGGAGAGGGGAACACCCTGGCCCTGGGGCTGGTGGTCCCCCCCCCCCAGTAAAAGGTGCTGGGATCTGGTCCTGGGGACACAGGTATGAGAAAGTCTTGGGGTTCCCAATATCCCCAAACTTCTCCTTCTTTATGTGCTTCTGCTTGCCGACTCCTGCCACCCCTCAACCACCACCCTCTCCCACTGGTTTCCCCTCAAGGGGCATATGCTTATCCTGCAGGATTGGTTGCCTCTCCACTCCAAATGCATTTGTATTTTTGACCTGAGGGTAGTGGCTGAGAGCGTGGGCTCTGGAGTCTCAGCCCTGCCACTTACCGCTGTGTATGCCACCTCCCTGAGCCTCAGTTTCCTCATCTTTATAATGGGGATAATTCCAGTACCTGCCTCAAGCGGTTGTTGAGAAGACTTGAGGATACAGTCTGTATGAAGCACTGAGAGCCCTGCTGGGCACATGGCAGCCCCGTAACAAAGGGCAACTGTTGTTTTGCCATGCCCTCCTCCCCCTACCTGCTCATTCACAGACTGACTGGGAAAGGCCTGGTCTCTTCCCTTAGGGGCCACCCCCTGTCTTCTCCAAAATAGTCGGGAACTTTGACCAGAGGCTGAGTTTTTTTTTCTAGGTACCTGCAAACCTTATGTCATTTGAATAAGTCTCTGCAGGACTTGGTGTGACTTCAAAGGCTTCTGGGAGCCCGGCCTGGGACTGGAGGTGAAGCGCATGTCCTGGGCACCAGCTGTTGGCCGGGGTGCTGGGACACTCACAGCTGGACTCGTGGGAACGTGGCCCATGGCCTCATGGTCCAGAGGGCTCTGCCGGTGCGGGGTCCACCTTCCGAGCCCCAGCAACCCTCATGACACCCATCTGCAGCACCACCTCACGGGGCCGCGGTCGGTCCCCAAACTGTATACCCCACCCTCTCTCTCTGGGCCCTCGTCTGTCCACCAGCTGCTGCTGCGACCAGAGAGCATCCAGCCCACGTTGGGTCCCCAGTGCTTTCTCCTGCACAAAACAGTGGACAGCGTGACCCTATGTGAGGGACCGGAGGGAAGGAACAGGCTGTGGAACTGGCTTTTTACACCCCAAATGCGCGGGGTCGCTCGCCCACAGGGCTGCCTCAGATTTTGTACAACCCCCGAAGCGTCCTCTCCGTGTGTGTGCTGTATACGTGTGTGTGCGAGCGAGTGTGAACTCTTCGAGAAACATGCATTTTGGCACAAGCCTTGTGACATCACACACTTCATTCTCTTTGAGGCCCTGCTTTAACCTTAAGTGACAGACTTGTCCACCGAGGAAGGTCAGAGTGAGAGCCCAGATCCCCCTGTGTTAAGGGTCCCTCGCATTCTTTTACTGTAAACAAACAATGCCTTAAATTGTGTCTTGTTTTCTGTTCCTATCGGTGCTACTCATCTGGAAGGCCTGCTCCCTGGGCCCCTGGGGCTCTTCCAGGCCTAGTTGCTTTTGGCTCTTCTGAGACAGGACCCGGCTTCAGGACCGTGGACTGGGCCTGCTTGCTTCCTCCCAGCCCCTCCCCGCTCTTCTTGCCCCACCCCCGCGACAGAATGAGAAGTCGCCACGCTTTCTCCCAGCTTCTCCAGGCCGCCTGCACTCAGTGAACGGCTGCATGGAAGCTGCTTTGCACTGACCTCTCCCCGCAGGGCAAGGCTTTGGCTTCCCTCATCTCACCCCTTTGCCTCCACTGCCAGGGCGGGGCCGCTGGGATTCCTGATTACACTGGGGAGCTGAGTGACACTGAGGCCTTAGGCTTCCCCAGTCTTGCCCCCAAACACAGTCACCAGCAAGTTCTCCATCATCCAAGTCCAAGGGCACAATTGTTGATGACCATGGTGACGAGAGCAAAGCCCTGGGGAGTGAATGGTCTGAGCTCTGCTTTCAGTTAAGAGCTCGTCACGTGAACAACATCTGTCATCTGTCACTCTTTGTCCTATTTTTAAGTGACTTTTATTTTGCACAAATACATTTTTATTTAAAATAATGAATACAATTAGCTTTATTTATGGTAGCTTTATCACCATAGCTTTCTCCCCCACCCCATCCCTCTTCTCTTTTTTTAATCTGGGTGTCCTGATTCTGAGAAGCTACCCCTACCTAAATGATTTTTCTGAAAGAAACTGAATTTCTGAGTCCTTGTCGCTGCCATGGTTTCAGAGTTCATACTAATCAGACACCAAACTACTCTTAAGAGTTTCTGGGGAAGATGCTTCAAAGCAACATCTTAACCAGTAAAATGTAATAGGTCAATTTTAAAACTACCAAAGGACCCACTACTGTATTTTGATAAAACAGTGACAGCTTTTCTGAAAATCCAAATGAATTGGTGAGGAAAGTAATTGTCATCAGGGTCTTATTTTGTGGTTGAGCCTTACTGTGACCAGTAACTTAACCCTCTTTTGTAGAAAAGTCTAGAATATTTTCGTGCCAAGAGAAACTCCAGATGGTAAAGTTGATGCCATCAGGCCTTGGCCATCGGTGCTTTGCACACCCACCCGCAGCTGGGGTCCGGATGCATGCACCTGATTTGTACCAACAACAGCTCACATTAGCGTCTAGAGGCTGGGTGAGTACACCAAACACTCCAAAGCCCACTCACCAGAACCACGCAGTGTTAACACTTTAAACTACATTGAATCTGATTCTACCTGTTAATTTAAGTCTTAAGTTTGAATGAAAGTGCAGGACGGGGACATCAGCTACTTATTTTCCTTCCGTTTCTCTATTCTTCAAACTGTCCTGGTTTTTCTGACATGAGATATCAGAGACTCCAATCCAAAAACCTCAACATTTCAGGCTCCACTAAATCAGGTATTCCCTGCCCTTTACAGATTTTTCTTGTCTTTCACAAATGTTTTCCTCTGAGCCTGTGAAATAGCACAATTGCAGTTCTTTTCAAAGTGTTTAGTCTTCTCATTAATTGAGACTGATCCCACATACCCTCCCAGAAACATTCTTAGATTGGACTCTCCAACCTTGAACTCACCAGAAGGCTGTAAGGTACTTGGTTCTCCCAACAGGGGCTTAGGGCCAAGCATGTGAGTTAAGTGCTGATTGTTTTCCCAGTACTGGTTTGTCCCTCAGGCTACAGGTGAGGAGGCCTGCAAGCCTGGGACAGAGGGGCCAGGCACAGACCCCACGGGGGAAAATCCATGGATGGATTCTTACCCTAGAAAGAAGCATTTCTTGGTTTTGCTCCTTGACTGTCCATAGTGCACAAATGACTGTGAAAGCATTGAAGGTGGTATGTCTTGCATGTATATGTTGTATCTTCTTTTTCTTAAGCAAAGAGATCATGGCACCCCAGAATGAAAATGGTAGGCTGCTGTCTCCAGACTGAAGTATGTGGCTGGTGTCCTCATGATGCCCCAGGAACAGCTCATTCACCGCTCCTGGGTGAAATTTTCAGTCCTCTCAGTCGAACACGTTTCAAAACTCAAGATCCGCCAAGTGCATTCTGACAACTGAAATACTTCGTGGAGGTTGGATTTGGTGGAAAGCAGTAGAAATATCGTTCTGAGTGTGTCCAGTGGGAGAGTGTGGCCTCCCTTCCCTCCCTGAAGAAGCCCTGTCCCGACCGTGGAGCCTAAAAAGACACTTGAAAAGGGATTCTGCTTCAGAAAGAACCCACTCTCTCTTGCCAACTGAATTTATAAAGCTTTTTTTTCTTTTTTTACCAGTATGGCCAGTATTCCTTTCATTGTCTTCCTCCCACCTCCCAAGCCCAAGAAGTATATATTTTAGGATGCCATTTTAGAGGTGGAAAAATGGTCCATGAAAACGGGAAGACATGGGCAAGCAGGGTCCACTTTCATTCCACAGATGGAGTCTAGAGCTCTGGACACACATTACTGATGCTCAGAACCATGTGAACATTGCTAAAAACAGACCTAACTTATTTCTTGTGACTTCATAAGTTACTTTAATCAGACTCACATCATACTGACATGTTGGGTGAGTTCATGTTTAAAAAAAAACAACTTTGAGTCCCTTTGAAATCACAGATTCTCTGTGTAAAGCCACCCATTCGCCCATTCATTCTCACCTCTACTTCCTGTGTGCCAGGCTCTACCCAGATAGAAATGGCTGAGGACAAGACAAACCCATCCCCTGCCCTTGTGGAACTGACCACTCAACGAACAAATAGTCCTTACCATGCCATTTCCTCTCTCTTAGCAAGACCCTGCCTCTCTCCTAGCACTGGGTAGAAACCCTGTGCAGATTCCTCCAGAAAGGCTTCAAAAGGCTTACCAGAATGAACAGCCTCTTGACCTGTGGGTTCAGTTGCTGTCCTAGTGGCTGGTTGGCACAGAGCTATGGTTGGGCACATTGGGGACTCCGAGGTAGAACGAGAGAGTAGGATCAGAATGTTCGCAGTATTTACTTCAGAGGTTTTTGGGGTTTTAATTTCAATGTTAAATACAAGTACAGCATGAGCAAGCATTGCACTTTCTTGGGTGTTGAGAACTCGTGCCACGGACCACCTCACAGCCTGTGCTGCCCAAGCGTGGGTTCGCCGTGGGCGGCCGCGAAGTCCCTGCTCGCAGCAGCAACGCTGGGTCATCTGTCGGTTCTATAACCATTAATCTCTTTATCCATTTCTGAATGACTGTGAGCATTCCGTAATGAAACAATAGTAATTAATTTATTAGTATGGTATAATCTTTAATAAATTTCGTGCCAAAATGCATGGTTTTCCACTTAGCATTCAAAATGTTGCGTAGAGAGTAGTTTTCAATTTCTTATGTATTCTTCCAAGTAAGTTGAAAATCGATTTTTACATTTTAATTCGTTTCTTGTTCAATCTGTTGCACTCTCCTGGGCTGTCTTTTTTTTTCAGCAGACCTCCTGCATGCAGTTGTGTAAGGACTTTCCCTAATTCTTGTGAATTGTCTCATCCGCAGTAACCACTGGACATCAGCCCTCTGTGGAATTTAGATTTTTGGTGAAGTATTTTGTTACCTCGGTCTTGTATCAAGTTGCTGTATTTTTCAGCTTGTTACACTGATAATAATTGTTTCACTAATTAAATACTTTAGTGTATAAACATTTTTGTTTACCTCGAAATTAAATGTGTTTTCCAATGAATACGGTTCAATTTATTAAAGTTCTGTGCATTTGCTGAAGCCAGTAGTTGCTGTGCCAGGCAGACACGAAGGAGATGTGGGCACTCAGCATCCAACTAAGAGGTTACTAGAACATCAATGACATACAGGAGCAGTGCCCTCAGTGTCAGTGCTGTCTGCAGTCAGGAGAGGGACTTGGAGGATTTGGGGAAGCTTTAGGGGGCAGGGGCATTTGGAGATTCATTTCAGAGATGGTTGAACACATGGTGGGTGGAGGAGGCAAGAAGACCGAAAGGAGAAGGAGCAGGAGCAGGATGAAGGCTGGGGAAAGCAGGCAACCCAGTCTCACTGGGTAAGGGATTTGTGGGGAGTATTGGGATCTGAGTCTGAAGAGATATGTTGGGGGGAGTTCATGATGCTCAGTGAAACCCAGAAACCCACTCTAGTTTGCGTAAGAGAAAAGGAGGGACTGTCTTACAAGGGTTGTCTCATGGAAACTTGAGGGAAAGACCAAGGTTTGGTCTTGATTGATAGGAAGGAGAAATGGAAAGCCCCCTACATCTTCTCTCTCCCCATCATTCTCTCATGAGACTGGCTTCTCTGCAGGAATGTGCAGCAGTGAAGAAGTACAGGCCTTCTGAGAAAGCACCCTGAAGTTATTGAGGGAGTGTGCACCAAGGTGTGATCCAAACTGGTCGTGGGGGCCCCCGGCCCCGCCTGCCTGGGCTTCCCAGCTAGTGCCTTCCAAACCCGCAGTGGCCAGTTCTCCAAGGACACACTCCCACACACACATACACACTCTTCAGTCTCTGCCCCACCACCCCAGTCACAGGCCAGCATGGCCGCATCTCCCTAGCCATGACAAACTCCACTGCCTGAGGGGGCCCTAGCACAATGGCTCCTCCTGATTTACATGGAACGGTGATTCCAGTTTTACCCGGATAGGGTCGCTGCCCTCGGCCCCAGGAGGGTGTTTAAGGGCTCTGAGATGGATTTAGCTGATTTGGGGAGGAGGTGAGGACGATGTGGTGTGGTGCAGGAAAGTGATGAAGTCAAGACTTGAGCCCACAACTGGTAGCGTGCAAAGCTCCAGCCCCTCAGCCTCACTGCTTCAGGCCCCACAGACGCCACCAGGAAACAACAGTACCTCCACTTAATGGAGAGATCCGCGAGCTAACGCAGACGGTACGGGAGAATTCCTATGCAGCTTGGAGGGCAGACATCGCACCCGGGAGCGTAGCCAGCCAGCCAGGGCCAGGGCACCAGGGAGGTGAGGCGGAGTGGGCGGGGCCACTGGCGGGCGCGGGGCTGTGGGCAGGGCCTTGTTGAGGAGGGCAGGGACCTTGTGGTGGGCGGGCACAGTCAGGGTTGGGGGCTTTGGAGAGAAAAGGTAGGGCCGTGCCTATGGGTGGAACACGGGGAAGGGCGGCCCCCAGACTACGTCAGGAAGGGTCTAGGGGTACTGAGAGGTGGAGGGGCGACTCTCGAAGAAGCCGACCCTAAGGGTGAGGGTGGGGGCTGCGCGTGAGCTCTGTAGTGGGAGGGTAGGTGGGTGGGGCCTGGGTCTATTCTGAGGGCCAATGATCGGGAGGGATGGGGCGGTGGACAGTACAGAGCTGAGGACCGGGTGGGCGTTTGGGACCTAGCAGAGGTGCTGACAGCCGGCAACGGAAACCCGCGGGGCCTGCGCGGGAGGGGCGTGGCTGGAGTGCGGGGCATTGCTGGGGCGCGGGGTGGGGGCCTAGATCCGGCTGAGGGGCAAGGAGTGGG